GAAGATGATGATGATGATGATGATGAAAAAGAAGAAGAAGCGAGAAGACGTCTTCTCACCACGACAAATCAAACAAGAAAATACACGCAATCCCCATACACCCTTGTCTCTGATATGTGCATGCATCACTCAAGCAGCAACCCCGCACCCCAGCTCAAACTGCTTGCACTACAAGGCCACACACACACACACACACACACACACACACACACACACACACACACACACACACACACACACACACACATACACGCACAAGTTTATCTGTTTGGCACTTCAGCAAGCCGATTCAAAGTACTTAATGTGAGATATAAATGGCACCAGGACAAATTGTAAAGGCAACAAAAGACGCTACAAAACAAGCATTTAGAAAGAAATAAAAAATAATTAAATAGAGACACTCACACACACACAGTGACACATGCCGCTTTCGTAAAAAGACCCACATCGCCTGGAGGCGTAATTCTCAGGAAACCGTTTTGCACTAGGAAACATTTCCAAAAAGTCTTTAGAACAAAAGTCCTACTTCGTGGTTTTATACCCTCTGCATTTAAGAACAAATTAAACATGTTTGCTCTTTGTTAGATCTTTGTAAATACAGTGAAATAAGACTTCTTACCTCTGAACTATGTACATTACCAATATATTTTACGTACAACAGCTCCGGTATGCATCGGTCGAGTCTGTCGCAGGGTGAACACACAAAGACTCACACATATCTACACTTATGCACAATGAAGAGTGTTGCAGGGGCTGTTCTGTGCTTTTTAAAGGGCCATTCCTGTCCTATGATTGGCCAGAAAGATCTGCCTTATTATTTATACTGGAGGAAAGCATGTATAGAACATAATTGTCAGTCCTGATTGCTGTTTGCTACTACCCACAGTTCCTTGTCCTGTGTGGCGCCGCCTACAGGCCGACAGAAGAGATTGACCTGCGGAGCATCGGCTGGGGAAACATCTTCCAGCTGCCATTCAAACACATGAGGGACTACCGCCTGCGACTGCTCTGCCCCTTCTTTGTCTATAGTGGCTTTGAAGTGCTGTTTGCCATCAGCGGAATCTCTCTGGTACTGTTTCTGTCAGCAGAGTTTGTTGAACTAATAGCAGCGTAACTAATCTCTTTCGTTCTTTCTCTCCCTCCCTCCACAGACCTATGGTGTCTGTATTTTGGGCCTGAAAAAGCTGTGGCTCTTGATTGTCGTCTACGGCTTCTCCTGCTCCATCTTCTCCTCCCTCTCCCTCTGCACCCTACGCCTCCCGCGCTGGGTGTGTTTGATGAGTGGCGCCTTTGTGCACTTTGTATTGCTGGTGGCTCTCATGGTGTTCTCCCTACAGCGCAAGCAGGGCGAGTCATACGAACAGTATCTGGGCCCTCTGCTAGTGATCATTGTGCTGTGGGGTCTCGGCACCGCACTGAACAAGACGGGCCTCAGCAGTGAGTAATGGCTGGTGGTTGGGGTGTCTGTACGTACTGTGCAATAACTTTGTTCACACACGTGTCAGTATGAATTTCTGTGAGTGTGTGTGTGGTGCTCTGTCTGTCAGCTCTGCTCAGTATGCTGTATGCTGAGGAAAAAGAACGTCTGGACTTTGTTTACACCATCTATCACTGGTGCCAGGCCATCGCCATCTTCATAGTCTACCTCTGGTCCCACCTGCCTATGAGGGTACAGTATGGGACTGTCTCTGTTTGACAGCGTTAAGTGTGCATTTCTGACATGTTCCAGATGTTCCTATTTTTTTTATTACTTGTATTTTGTCTGCACCCCTCAGGCCAAACTCTCCATCCTTTTGGTCACTCTACTGTTGGCCTGTTACTGTTACTGGGTGATGGAGCGTCGGCTGGCCAAGGATATGCGCCCCAGACTGCCTCGTATCCCTCGGCCACGGCACAAGGTAAGCAGTCACAGTCTTTCCAGAGTTAATCGGGATAATTCCACTTTATCAGATTTATTTTGTCAGCCAATTACTCAGCGCAGAAAGAAATGACATCAATTAAAAAAAATTAAGTTAAGTTAAGAGTTGCCATTCAGGCCAGCTATGTGCACAGCGCTTGACATTGACTTGATGATCTCCTGCCTCTCGTGTGCATTTGCTGGTCACACAGGCTGCGTGTCTGCTACGACATGAGGTCTCTGGTATTACGAACTGTAATTCCTCGAATAAAATTAGGTCTATTTACTCAACAGAATGAAGCCGTGCATCTTCTGGTCCTGCAAATATTACAATAAAAAAGCAAATGAATGGATTCAGTCAACTGAAAAGCAGAATGTTACCACTCACGCAGCCAGTTTGGCAACTGATACCACTTTGTATAAAATCATGAGAATAACCATGAAATAACAACAGAAAAAAGAATTAATCAATGAATATTGCTGTTGTTTTGATATAGAAGAAGCACCATGAATCAGTCTGCACTTCTATTTTATTACATGGTATTTCACGTTCTTGTGAATGAGTGAGCGGCCTTTAGTTTTATATTGAATTTCATTCACTATTACATCTATAAATAATGGGAACTTCACGTGTTTTCATTGCAATTTACTGTATGTATAGAAAAGTAGTAAATATTTGATATATCAGGAGATATCAGTGTAATATCACTTTCAAAATAAGGCCACTTGACATAAGCTAAACAATATGTTGTAGGCAAATAATATATATATATATATATATGATAAAACATTGAAAATGTTTGGGTTGATTAGTGTTTTTCATGACTTAACAGACCAATTGATTAATTGGTTATTTGATAGTAACCAAGATGAAAGGAACAAGTGGTGTTAAAAAGGTCCTTTAATGTACTGCATTCTCTGTAGTTTAATTGTTTTATATACTTGTGTGTTTTTCATATTTGAAGCACTTATAACTTTGTTTTGAGAAGTGCTATATAAATACAGATATTATTATGATCTTTTTCTGTATTTAAAGCTTTGACAGTCTGTCCAGAAACTGATGTAAATCTGACAGACTGCATCTGACGGCAAATCACATATTTATGAGTTGTTCTTTGTTTTTCATTCAGCTAAGAGAGTTTGCTGTTTTTACACTCAGCATGTAAACACATTATTCTCTCTGTGTCATAGAGAAAAAAAATCTGTACGGATCAATTTTGTAGCGCGATCTGAACTCCTGCAAGCAGTGATTTGTCTGGTAGTAGAAAAGTCTCATTATCGTCTGAGCTGACTGTAAAACAATTCTTCTTCTTCAGAGTGACTCAACATCTACCATTTAACATTTGTCTCCGCAGGTCAAAGGCTACCGCTACCTGGAAGAGGACAACTCGGATGAGTCAGACTCGGAGAGAAGTGAGGAGGATAATGAGGAGAACAGGGACGAAGAGCATGTTTTGGAAGAGATGGGAGCAGAGGACAGGGAGGTAAGGGGCCAGGATGGAGGGGCCCACGGAGCTGACTCACCCGTAGCCAGGAGGAGAGGAGCGGCGGGTCACCAACGGGAGGACGCCAATGTCAAGGGGGGAGAGAGGGAAGAGCGTGAGGGAGGTTGAGAGAAAGGAAAAAGGAGGTGAGATGGTGGACAGATGGTTGAGGTACAGAAGAGGAGGAGAGATTCTGATGCTCTGGATCATGTTGTGTCCATGATTCTATTCATATTTTTACAGATATTTCCTCTTCATCCTACAACAAACAGAATTGTGTTTTCTAGCAGTTGTTTTAATCAAAATGCTCAAATCAAGTGTCATCCAGATGAAAAGTAGAGAAAGTGGAAGGACCATAATGCTATGTAACAGCATTTTTTCATAAAGGCAGTCGAAAGAAATACTGAATGGGAGGCTGTGTTCAGTTATAGAAGTTTTGTATCTTTCTGTTTATCATGTCAGGTTTGCATTTTTAGCATGCAAACATTTTCCAAGTTAGTACTCAACAGAAAGTACAGCTAAGGCTCATGGGAATGACATTTGTTTTTTAGGTATTTCTTTTGGGAAAAAGTCAGTGTGGCTTAAAAACATGAGGCACTTGGTACAACTCAACGCAGATCATGTGTTGAAACACATCAGGATATCCACATGTACTTACAAATACATGTACTTGCATTGTAAAATCTATGTTAAATTAAGGCTTAAAGGTACAGTTTGTAGAATTTAGTCATATCTAGTGTTGAAATTGCATGTTGCAGCTGAACCCCCCTAACCTCACCCTCTCATTCCATAAATGAAAAAAGAAACTGTAGCAGCCTTCAGTTGTCAATCAGTTTTTTTGTTATATAAAGACAACTTTATTTGTCCGGACTATGACTATTGGATAACATGGTGTCATTGTTATTGGTAACTCAGATGCTTTACTACAATGACAAATCAAAATGTCAGTAAGGGGTACCTACTATTGACGGATTTAGTGTTTGGGGGAAGGAGAATTAAAATGCCATCACTGCACTGCCAGTATAATAATGAAATTTCTACTTTATTGTATAGTTGCTACTGTATTTCCTGGCATTTAATTGTTATACATTTTCTTTTTTAAAAATATTTTCTGAAGTTACGCCATGCTCATGAAAATAACTTACCTGGCTTTTTATTTTCAGTACTGAAAGCTGTTGCGCATTCACACTGAGGATCTGTCATTTCATATATTTTTGTAGGTCCTATAATTAAAGTTGAACTAAGTTTACTTTTAGTTCATTCTGATCAAGGAATGAAAGTACGAATGTTTAAGGAGACCAGCTGTAGGAGGAATAAATAGAATCCACATTCTATAGTGGATCCTAAACATTTCGTTTTGTAATTTAAATAAAAAGTGATTTTCTATGAACTGTAAAAGCCAAAGGTACGTGATGTTGCATTGGTTATTCTTTTATATGTGATGATGTGTTACTGTGTCGCTGTGTTCACTTGAACCAACTAAACATTGTGTTAAAACAACTGCTGCAGACTGTGACGGTTTCTCTCTACTGGTGGGTGGCGCTTATTGAAGTCACCAACTTTATATAAAGACCGTGGCAACTACCGAACACTTATCGCCATGGAAACTTGGATGTATGACCAGTGCAAAGAATAGCACAACTAAATGTTTCATTACAGTTGTTATGACATTTATAAATGTAGATTACATCAACGAAAACTTTTCATGTATTTTACTCCCATAAGAGTACAAATACTGTAAAGAACAGCATAAACGTAAAAAGAAAATTAGAAATACAATCACGGGGTGCTGGGTAGCGTAGTGGGTTGTGCTGGCACCCCATGTGCAGAGGCTACAGTCCTCGCTGCAGTGGGCCCCAGCTCGAATCCCGCATTAGCAGGCCCTTTACTGCATGTCTTTCCCCCTCAAAGGCATAAAAAAGCCCAAAAAATATACTTTAAAAAAGAAATACAATCACATAACCTGCATCACTTTCTTCTGTTGCATTCATTTAATATAAGGTTTAAATGCATAATTGTAGTGTCTTACAATTTAACTATTACATCAGTATGCTGGTGTAACTTATTGCATAAATTCTGAGATACTTCATCAATGATCAAGAGGTTTAGGGGGAAACACTCTGAACACTGTGCCTCAAATCTGTACTTTGCAAATAATACATTTGCACACATGACGTGTTCTGATACAGTGTGAATATAATAGTTTCCACACACACCATATCATCAGAGGCAGCATTAATATAATCAAAGAATAAAATGTTCCTCACAGAGGACAGGCCTGTATGATATTGTGATCCATTCATCACTGTCTGTGGTTCTGTTGTTATCTTTACTTCTTAACTGATCTGTCATGTCGATGTCCACTCACAGACGAACTACAGAAAACACTTCCCATGTGTTTTACTCATGTAAGAGCACAAATACAGGTTTAAGATTAACAGTTGCTTAAGGTGAGATGAACATATAATTACCAAAGACTATATTTACATAACTAGCTTGTTCTGGTGTTAATTACAGATGCACTAACTTTACATATAAGCTGTTGTGTAATGAAGGTTCTAGTTCTAATCAAACAAAGTGCTAAAAACTAAATAGCATTATAATTAGTCCCTTTGTGTTGTGTGTGTGTTGCTTCAAAATCATTTTACATGATTGTGCTGGTTTCCACAACAGCATGGGTTCTTAGATGCTTCCTTAAGGGTAAAAAGTAAAAGAGTGAAGTTTTACCAAGAAAGAAACAACTTGTGCCTGTGCCACAAAATTGTACCTTGCACATAATACACACAGTACATTTGTACACATGAGGTGTTCTGATACAGTGTAAATAAAGTAGTTTCCAGACTAATTCCCATCAGCGCTGTTGATCACCACTGTTGTCATCTCTGAGTATTTCCAAGCACACAGGAATTACAGGACTTCTCTTGCTCTGAATCTGAACTTTATTTCACTAAAACAAAATGAGTATTAGAAGAAATAGGAATCTAAGCGAGAATAAAGAGGTAGCTGCTACATCACCAATGGTGTGCATTGTCTTAAAGAAGCCCTCAGCTCAGTTGCCTTTTGGACTCATATCCAAAGCAGGGGCCCAGGTGATAGCCTGAGCCCAGCCTCTGCTGCTGCGGCCGGTGCGCATGTGTTTCCCTCTCAGTGCCTGATGCGTCTGATGGACTGGATCTTGGGAGTCTGGCAGTGGGAGCCCCAGTTCCTCCAGTGCTGGTAGTCTCCACTGTGTCTCTCACACTCCATGATGTACTGCTGGCCTCTGTAGCCCGGGTACTCATAGCACACAAAGCTGTAAACAGACAGAGGCAGGAGGACGTACAGTAAGTGAGAGGAGCTGGGTTTAATTGTCACGAGTTGTTCAATTTCAACACTAGATATCACAAAATTCTCCACACTACCTTTAAGTTTAGGATGTCACTACGTAATAACATTTATATTTGTTTGAAAAAGTTAAAACCCTCTAATCAAAGGGGATATGACCACATAAGAACATACAGGTACTTTCACCTCAACCATTGGATCTAACTACCTTTGCTTATTAGCCTCCCACTCACTTCTCTACTTATTTTTTCTCTCATCAGATTTTTCTTTTACAATCAAACACCATTGGTCAACATGAACTAGTACGTGTCAGGATCAGTGACTTACGCTCCACACTGCACATGCATAGAGCCCACCTCAGGGGTGAGCCAGCCCATGGCCTGCAGGGAGGGGTAGTCGTCGCACAGCTCGGTGCTGCGGCCGTTGAAGTTCTCCATCTCAAAGATCCTCATGCGGCTGCTCTGATGTGACTGTGGAGGGGCGGAACAGAGAATTGGTGTTAATTTTAGCATCAGGTCCTGTCAGACGGACGTACATTCGCCACTGACTTGTCTCATTTCTATTTTTGAACTCGCTCACAGTGTGGCTCACTCTTGTGACCACTCGCTCCTTCTGTCACTCTGTCATCACTGCCATCTCCATTCACCCTCTCTCCTGCTCTTTCACTCCCACTCATCTCTTCCTCTGGCTCACTGCAGCCCTGCCCTCCCCCGCAGGTACTCACGGCACAGTAGATGGGGCGAAGGGAGATGAGGCGCTCTGTGTGATAGGAGAGGGAGCCGCTGAAGGCGTCCCAGCTGGGGTACTCGCCTCTCTCCAGGACAAACTGCTGGCCCTGGAAGTTGTGGTGCTCGAAGCCCACCCAGCTGGACACACGAGGGGGGAAGAGGTCACATGAGTGAGCAAAAATGTTTCATATTGTCATCTCAGATCAGTCTGAACAGGAAACAGACTGCTGACAGGGGACATCAGACAAAAGAGAGATTACTTCCCTACATTTCCAGGTGCTGGAGCTCACTTCAGCATTTCCAGAATTTCTTGCTTCAAAACTTTCATTGAAATACATCTAAGAGTGATTCAAACATTTAATATTCCCCCAAATCAAAAAAGAAAATGACACGTTGTTTTTAGAATACAACAGTCCACTACAGACAGCTGTCAGCTTTTACATGGACTAAAGAATGAAAGACAATCATTGTTTTTTTATTTATCCATTGGTTATGAAAGTCAACAACCACTCATGAAGTTTCCAAGTTTTAAGTTGCCAGGACTTACAGAAAAGACCAGAGTGAAGATCATAGACTGGGTGTAAAGATGGATGACGTGACTGTACCCCTAAAGTGAAGCCAAAGTGTCTCAATTGCCCCCTAGTGGCTTGCTGCAGTAGAGTAAATAAACCCCCCTTCCTCTGTGTTTATGGAAAGGACATGGACCAAACTAAAAAGTCAACAGTTTCTGTCGGTTTTAATTAGATATTTTCTATAAAGATGGGATGAAATGTCAGGATCGACAGCTGACACTGACTTGTGATTGGTCAAATGTGTGTGTTTTTTGTTTACATCCTATCCATTTCTACAAAACAGTCTGGGTCAGTATTCGAGCTGTCCCGGTATCTGATTTTTACTATGTGATAGTGGGCAAAATATTTTGCAATAATTATATTATTGCAATAACTTTGGAAAAATAATAGTAATCAGTCAAATCCATCTTTAAGTTTGCTTGTTCTGTGTTTCTTTTTCTGCTAAATAATTTAAACTGAAAACACTACACAATACTAATACGTACGATGTTGGAGTGTGAAGCAGATCGAAATATTTAAAAGACGCTCCATATGTGTCTAATTAAAAGATACAGTAATCTACTTCTCCTAAGTGTACGAATGATCTGCTCTCTGCAGCGTCATCGAGCAGGTGTTTGGAGAATGTCCACTCTGACTTTGGCGAGCTGTACACAACATGACTAAGGTCTGTTACGTATAAATCAGCTCAGAGTGAACTTCTGCTCTTGAGTGCGTCAAAACACGGAGGGTGAGACAAAGTTTGCGTGTTTTTAAATTTGTCCTCAGTTCCTCAATGATCTGAGCGAGCTAAAAAAGGTTTTCTCACCCTGTGACGAGTCTGAGTCTACAGACGACTGTGTGGGGAAAACAGAGGACATTTATGATGACAGGCAGCTGGTACTAAATAACCACATGGTTATCAATGAAGACTGAGCTTATTTAATCACTCTAAGAGTTGAATTTGATAATTAGTGGATCAAGCAATACATCAGATATCTTCAACATGATAATTGTCTCTGGTGGATTGTTGTTATTTTACAAGCTTCGTATATGTTCCCATAAACTGTAAACTATATGCTAGATATAAAGAATAACAAACTGTATCAGGGCCATATTGAAGATTAAAAAAATGAGATTTCAAGATTAAAATGATAAAACTAGAAGTGAGAATAAAGTTGTCATTGGATGAGAAAAAAGGAGAAAATCGAAACTTCATCTAGAATTACATTAAAACAAGTTTAAATGCCAAAAGCAGTACTGACACATGTTCTTTGGTGGCCTGCTAGTGGCTTACTCATACATTTTTATTTTACTTCACTACAACAGAACCACTCCTGTTTCCCACTTTTTACTGCTTTTACTGCTTTTTTTCATATTGGCCCACTGGCCTCATTCTATCGTTGGGACCTCAACACCCGCCCCCCCCCCGATCACTACTGCACAGGATTGGTTCATATTGACATAAAAAGTCCAATATGGCGACTGTAACCGTTTTAGCTTAATTTTTGAAAAATGGCAGGAAGTGGAGAGGCACCAAACATCTTAACGTAGTCTACAGTTTCTAATTCAAGTTTTCATAAAATGGTCCACCAGGTTGTGTTTTGTAAATAAAATCTAAATCTGAATCTCTAGAATGTATTTGAGTGGAAGTAGAAGTAAAGAACAAGTACTCTACTTCAGTTAATATATTTAGTTACTTTGCACCACTGATATTACACTTTAAGACTGAATGTATTGAGTTACTAGGACACAAATCTACATCAACTAAAGACACTAACAATATTGATAATATAATAATAGTAGAGATTTAAAATAGATGATCCTATGTAGCTCGTTCTCAGCATCAGTTTAGAGTTATTTTATAGCAGAGGGATCTTGACTTTTTCCTCTGCGTACACTATGAGAAAAGGAAGAGACACAGTTTTATCAAAGCAATAAAAACTCTCATGAGACCTTAAATGATCCACTGCTGACCAGTGATAACTGCTGACCACATGTAGGCGAGGCACGTGTGCTAGGTCTGAACAGCCTCCACACCGAGTCAATCCTGCAGTTTAAAAGACTTTGTCGAAAAAGAACCCGTTTCAGCCTCTCAGGGCACCTTGAATTAACTCTTAGTGGTGTGTCTTCTAAAAGGTCAGCGGTAGAAAGTAGACACGGCGCTGTTTGCATACACCCTGTATGGAGGGGCCTCAGACGCTTTGTTGTGGGAGCCTGGACACTTTCCTATCTTACCATCTTACCATGTTTCTACCTTTCTACGTCTCACAGACACACACTTACATAAACAAACACACACGCACACACACAGTCAGTCAGCTGTCCACAGAGACTTGCAGGCGTACAGGCTGTGTGACTCACGCTCCACTCTCCACTCGGATGGAACGGATGTTGTCCAGGCCGCAGTTGTGGATGTTGCAGCACTCGGAGGTGAACTCCAAGTTCTTGCCCTGGAAATGCTCCTGCTCAAACACAGTCACCTGTGGACACGGGAGAGGTGGGCATGAGGATGCAGTCATGTCATTACTCTGTGTGTGTGTGTGTGTGTGTGTGTGGTCCAGGATTAATTATGTGGTGGGGGCTTAAATCAATTTGTGTAGTCATAATATATTATATTCTAGTCCTTATGGGAACAAAAACCAAGACATAAATAATCACATGTTCTGGTAAGGACATGTTTTCCGGTTAGGTTTAGGGAAATTAGAAACTGAAGTCATGGAGACACAATAGAGTGTGTGTGTGTGTGTGTGTGTGTGTGTGTGTGTGTGTGTGTGTGTGTGTGTGTCTTCACCTTAAAGAAAGGGGCCGTACCCATGCTGGGGAAGGACATGGGTGTGGTCATGCTGCTTTTATTGACTCTGTACATCTCTAGATTAGGAAAGGTCAGAGAGAGAATCAGGGTCATGGATGAGAAGATGTTTCATCAGTAAATGTCACAGTTGTTAGACAAATTCACAACAAAATCACAGACACACTTCTTATAATAAAGAAGTTAAAAGTTGCTATTTGCTGTAATAAACTCTCATTTTTGACAAGAATCATGGAAGCAGTGTGTCATCAGAGAAAGTAACAAAATGCAGCAATAATGATAATAAGTAAAATATGTGATTGAGGAGAATTAATTAACTTTTAAACTCATCTTACCTGATATGTGTCCTCGCTCTCCTCACACACCGGGTCCTCCTGACGTAGACTTTTGTCTCAACCCTACCGCCTCCGCTTTATACCGTCATCCACGCGGAACCCTCGTGCTCGCGCATGTGCGTGTGCAGCCACTACACTTTCCTGATGACTGTGAACGAGCAGAGTTTGTCAAGTGAGCAGTTTTATCTCTGTTAAAGGAAATACTTCCGGTGAGCCTTTTCAGAATCAAACTGTTAAACACCTGATTATAACAAGTAATACAAAGTCCTAACACGATAATAGAAAACAACAATGACTGTATCAGAAACAGATTATTAGATTTTTATATTTTATGTGAGTTTTTAAGCAACTAATAAAATGTGATTCTCGATTTAAATTAACAGCTCCATAATTAATAAAAAAAAAATTTTTTTACACTGTAATAAACAGTCTATTATTATTATTATTAGCCTATTGTTATATATTTGTATTTCAACCCGTGATCTAATGATAAGACTTGTCAACACATCTGTGGATCAATGTAAAATGAATCAGAAGATAAGCCATTTGATGAGTTGTTGAGTCAAATCTTTTTCAATCTTCAATGGTTTCAGGGATTTTTTTAATTGGCTGATCATAATTTGAATATCAATAGAAGTTAAATAAGTTCAGAGACTCACCAGTTACTTTGTCGATCATGGGAAATAACCAGCTAATTAAACCGTAATGACTTTAAGTACAGTCTTGCTTAATAGCATACTTATTATGTGTTTTTTTTTGTGAACTCCCTGATCTTACTTTTGAAGGCCGGAGGAAGAGTAGTTCCGGTGCTGCTCCTCTGACTCACTGTGAGCAGCTTGACGCAGGTGAGAACGTGCGCTCATGTTGGTGCGTAAAACCAAACAAACACGGTTTTTACGCGCGCCTGTGAGGCCGCCTCCCCCCCTCTCTCTTTGTGACCATGTTGTCTGTCGACTCAGCAGATCATACACAGCTGAGGTGCGGCCGGTGAATGCGGGGCTGTTGTTGGTGTATTCGTGTAGGTCAGCAGAGCCATCATATAGAGCAACAATGGTCGGGACTATAGGCAGAGAATGAGCAGGATTTGGAGAGACACCCGGGGAGCCCGATTCAATGGTTCTGACCTGAGGTGGAGGAAATTGGAGGAAAGAAATGCAATTAATGAGGATACTCATGAATCAATAATACAAAAACGGCTGGAAAAGTAATTTATGAAAATATTAATTTGTCAAAAACGTAAGAAGAAAGCTCTGAGGAAATTATTTTTGTTGCACTGATGTAGAAAGTGGGCCCCAGGTTACCATAGCAACACCCCATTGGACTCATCTGGTCCTTGACAATCAGGCAGTTTAAGAAGAGGATGAAACCAAGTCATCTTAATATTTACTCACCTGCACACACACACACACACACACACTCACAAAGTCACCATCATTTTCTCAGCGAACTTTTCACACTGACTCTTTCATTTATAAATGCCGTGTGATTTGCAATTCTGAGCTCTATAAATATAACGAACTAAACTTGATTAAGCTCTGTTATGAAGAACACAGTAACAGCTCCACAAGAGCAATGACTTTCACTGGATAACTCTCATGATTATGCAGCCAAAATATATTGATCTGCTGGGGGACAATCATTGTTTGCTGGGGGACAATCATTGTTTGCTGGGGGACAATCAGGATGTCCTACTTAATTGTCGGAAATATTTTGGTTCTCTCTTTTTCCCTGTACACATTTAAACTTGGTTTTCTGTTTTCTGAAAATGAGATACTACACTGATACACTCATTCTAATACATTATTACATATTTGTTGATTGACCATCAGACAGATGAATGGACTGATGCAATGAACATTAAGTCCCATCAGTCTGCAAGGTCTGCCTATTGATTTGAGGGAGAAAGGGCGAGGTCATGTCTTTCCAGTCAGCTGTCACCTTGAAGCGATTCTTGACGACAAATATATTTTGATCCTTGATACTTGATTTTGCTGAGAAGGTGCAGTGCCCCACTGCATTGAAGGCTGCCCAGTGCTCCATTTATTTCTTCGACATAAACGTACAGACATCAAATATAATATATGTTGTAAGAAGGATTAATCAAACCAATTTCAATTTTCATCATGTCACATTTTTTAACTCACTTAATTAGTATTAGCAGCAGCAGTAGTGTTATTATTCCAATATAGATTTTTAGTAATATATTTCCTTTATGTGCTTCACTGACAGAGGAAGGAAATAATTGTTATTTTTTTTAAATTGACAGGAATATAATTTCTTTCATGTGTCGTGTTTTATTGTGTCTTATGTAAATGTAATAATTTGACAGTGTCCTTGTACAGTTCAGGTTCTTAGTTATTTTTGTTCATTAGATACTGACTCTCTGTTCCCAGCACTCACTGAATCCTGCTGTTATTAGACAGCACTGAGAGGGAAGTGTCGGATCACCACTTCACTCCTCCCTCCCCTCTGACCTCTCACGTGATGATTGGAAGAGATTCAAACAACATGGTTTATGAGCCTGTAGTTGAACCTCAGGGCATCAGACTCTCATCTGGTGAACAGCTGCCCCCTCATTTTCTGTCCTGTGACCTCACCTGTATGGCAGAATGTGGAGCCACACGTTTGATTCCCCTGTGTTCTAACTTCACCAAACTTGGTGCAATTATTTCTTGGGTATTATTTACTATTCAGCGGATCAATCAGAGGTCAAAGGTCAAGGCAACAAACACATTGTCCAAGATCTCTGCAAAAAATGGAATAAGAGACAATCTGAAGCTTATATTATTTGGACATCATATGATGTTATTTGATAAGAGATGTCATGAAGATGTCAGAAAAAGTTATCATATTGTTCAAAAATACTGTGTCTCCAGAGGTAGAGTGGGTCATCCACTAACTAACCGCATTCTGCAAGTGTCCTTGGGCAAGATGTTGAACCCCCCCCCCATAGAACAAAAATAAGTGCTGCTAATAGATCCGCTGTATGAATGTGTGTATGAATGTGTGTGTGAATGGGTGAATGGCAAACTGTAGTGTAAATGCTTTGAGTGGTCATCAAGGCTAGAAAAGCACTATATAAATACAACCATTTACTATTTACTGTATGTATGTGTGTGTGAATGGGTGAATGGCAAAACTGTACTGCACAGTGCTATTGTGAAGTCATTGAAACTAGAAAATCTCTATATAAATACAGACAACTAATTTATGATCAAATTGTAGGGATGATGTCATTGTGATGTCACAGGGAAAATCAGAAATGGCATCATATAAAGTATTCCTGCACCCAATAATGTTAGACAAAACCTACATCCTGTCAACTGTCATCATCACATGGTATGGATGACGACATGGCACCTCTACAACATAAAAGTTAGCATAGCCATTTTGGGTCATATAGAGCCCTCAAATTATGCATCACCCCTCCAATACTTCTCATTTCCTCTTGCAGCCGACGCCCACCACACCATTTTATCTGCCCACACAGGAGAAAAGACAGCAGGCTTTAATTTGATAGCTTTCTTCCACTGTGATGAAGAGGGCGATTCAGATCATTGTCCGTGCACACTCCAAACCGCTTTGCTCACCCAGAGGTGGAACGGCAAGGTTATTGCTTCTCACAGCTTATTGCTTTTCCTGTTATTGTTTGCCCCAGCGCCTCTTGATTACAGAACTGGAGGGAGTAGAGATGAATAATTTTGTGACAGGCTCCTAAATGTGAACCTGGTCAGCCTGGACGTCATTATAAGGGAGTTGCTGCTGGGGTTATGTCTTAAAAATATGTTTTTAAAAATACCACAGAAAGGGTTCAAGTCTCTCTACGTCACTCTCTTTATTTAATGGATTTATATTGTGCTCAAGTCATGAGGAAGTGGATTTGTCTTTCAGCCTGTCTGAGGTTTAATATATGCATACTCTGATTTTTAAGTTTGCCATATTCTCTTCCTGATATCCCTCTTGATTTTCAACTCACTAGTGCAGCCTGCACTGAACCTGCCTGTTTGGAATGGGCTCTTCTCTTGTGTTAATGCTCTCGAGCTACTGGGAATTATTCCTTCATTATCAGTGATTATTTGTCATTAGTGAGTCCTCTTCAAACAGTTCTACAATATACTGTCCCTTTGTGTGCTGGACGTTGTGTGCAGAGACCGGGTTGGTTCATCCTACCTGGTTTATCTGCAGTGAAGATTTTAAAAGATTTGAGAGCCGGTGCTTTTTATAAAATGAAACTGAATTTGCTTTATTATTTTTCACATATGTGGCTTATGATTTGAATGAGTTACTGAACTGCTGTTATTATTTCACACATTACATGCTAGCTATTTCAGAGGTCTGTTCAGCAATCAACACAGAGTTGGTCGCTTGTTTATACAAATCTTTGTTAACATTTCAAGAATAATGTTTCAAATTGGTTATGTGCTCCACATACAGACAGATATTTGTGGAATAGTATAGTAATAGATTTACTGTATATTGGGGCATCTCTCTGCCCTCCACCTGCTCAACTGTCTGTCTGTCTCTATGTCTCTCTCTCTCTCCTCGCTCTCTTTGATGATGGGGGTATTTCTATTCTGTGGGGGCTGTGAGCTCAGCGAGTTTGTTGTCTGTCTCTATAATCCCCTCTCTCTGGGCGCCAGCATATAAAAGCTACAAGGGGCCCAGCGCACTCTCACACAGACCACCAGCCCCGAGTCTACACTTTTACGCACACACTGCCACAGGTAAGACAGTGGACAAACATCATACAGAAAAAGAAAAGGGAGACAGAGAGCCTGAAAGTTAAGATATGAAAGTCAAGCTATGTGAATTTCTTTGGAGCAAATCTAAAAGTTGGCAATGAAAACTTCATTACTTCTGCTAAAAGCAATTCTTAAATTTTGTCTGTTGGTATCTAACATATAACTTCAAAAATGACATTGGTTCCACACAATTTTGCATTGTGAATTTGCATTAATGCTAATTGTTAAATATTAGGCTCAAAACTGAGAAAAGTTTTAAACTGCCGAATTCTATATGCAGGTACTACAAATGTACTGTACATTTTTGGATATTTGTAAAGGGTAAGGGTCAGTAGAATTGATTTGATTGCTTATTTGTGATGGAGGTTTTACTGTAACTCTGTGTGTAAAGCAAAGTGACAAGATGGTCATTTGTGTGGTTACGTTTGAATTGAATTCAGCTTTGTTGTGGAATGTGTGATAATGATTCAGGCTGCGAGAGACGATCAGAAAAATGGGAGGTTTGTGTCTCATATTCTTTTGTCTGTTTTTGTGTCTTTCCTGCATTACAAATTGTTTAAAAGTGATTATAAATAACATTTACGCAGTTGTATGTATTTTAGAGTCGGTGATGTTGTAATTTTAACATTCATATTTATAAAAGCTTATTAGAACTGATGTTACATGATCTATCCAGATCAGATGTCATTTGTCACAGGATGAATAATGCTGTTATTCTTTTGTATGTATGCCTTAGTATTGACCATAGGGGATTCCACTTCTTTTATAGCTTGTGTGTGTTCTTTCAATAATACATTCAATTTAAAATTTAAATTAAAGTACACATTCTTTGTGCATATTAGGTTATTAGTGGCAACCCTTCTTTGTGCAATCTCTCAATGCAACAGTAAAACTCAACTAAAGAGCGATTCTTCTCCTCCTCTCAGTCATCATGTCTGCCGGGGGAGAGAAATCCAAGTCCGCTTCTCAGACTGATGGGAAGGTAGCTCAGAACAAGATGTCTGA